AAGAAAAGATCATTAGCGTCATAGATCGTAACGATGTTTTATCAGGTGCGGAAAATTGTGCCTTTTTAGTAGTTTAAGATTCGATTAAGCCTAAGCGAGGGTATAAATGAATATTACTTGCAAATCAGGAGGGCGGCGCACCACGGCCAATAATTTTTTAATTCTACGTAATTATTATTGATTAATATCACGAATGATAAAGTGTTCCTGTACCTAATTAATTAATAATGATTATTATTATTATTATTATTATTATTATTATTATTATTATTATTGTATATCAAAAGTATTTGAAAATAATAATAATGCGATTTTCACTGGATCAACCAAAGATCATCGCCTTTACCCTTTTTTGGTTTTCTTTAAATATCTTTCTTTTATTGGAACAGCGTGGATCGCGCGATCCGGAAAATTTGCGACAGACTTTAGTTTTAAACTTCTTTTGACACTGTTTGTTCCGACTGTTTTTCAACGATCTTCCGTGTCAGGTACTGTTTGCTATATTAATTACGTCAATAAAAAAGAACCGGAGAATCACATGACTGTTGAATTTGGAATCACTAGGGCTGTACAAATGCTTAGATGGGTATGATATACCCTTTTTGGGGTAAACAGTTGTGTTCTGTGCGCATGACTGAGTAAATAATTGAAATATGTTTGCTGGATCTGTAGAATTTTGGTTGAAATAATATTTGACACTTCGTTAGGAATTTTTCGGTATATACGTGTGACAATTAATCATCCACAGTAGACTGGTGTTGCGTTTTGAAAGTTGATTAGGAGTAATTCTGATATGTTGGGTCTTTTTTTTATCAATATTCTTACAAGGAAGATACGAATGATACTAGGATACGCTCAGATGTGATTTGTGAACGTATCCTTAGTTTCTAAAAGTGATTGACACTGACAGTCATTTGTTTGAGAAATATGTCGTTGACGTTGATAATCGAAAATCATATAGTATGAATTATTTGATCGAAATCAGTGGTAAAGAAAAATGGCCAAGGTATACAATACGGAATTCAAGGAAGCTCTTCGTGAAATTGCTCAGAGGGTTGCCCACTTTAACTCACCATACGGTAAGAAATTTAAGTCCAATCCATAAAACATCCTGCAAACAATTTCATTGTCAATTCGATAATTTATTTTAAAAAAGCTAAAACTCGTATTACTCGCGTTGTCTGGATTTACGAAAAGGTGCCTTACGATTAGACCAGAGTAGTGTTAGTTCCGGAATTCCCCGCTGACAGTACGTAGTTTGGTTTTATTATTAAAGGCTCCTCTTTCTCTTTTCCTCAATACGGGAACTTACCTGGGATTACGAAGATCGCGTAAGAATCGTGGAATGGTCACGGAGGTTGGCGGGTATTCCCGATGATACAATTGACGAAGCCAAGAATCGTAATGATTATATACAGTTGCTGAAGATAATGACACGAGGTGGACGTCTTCATGGGGTATTTTTAAAATCCCCGCCAGAAAACGACATACCGCCATTGGCTGAAGCTATGGCCAATTTCCTATGCGATCTGTGTCCTGAACTCCCTAGGGCTGGTCCCATTGAGCCTATTGTATCCAGACGAACTCCCGACGGCTGTGCGTACATTGCTTTTAGAAAAATTCCTGATAAAGGTTTGTTGTGCTACATGGCTGTTAGCACTGATGGTTTAGAATCGGACGGTAACTCATCGACTGATGACGAGACCATGATGAAAGATAAGGAAACGTCACCCTTGTGATTATTCAGTCTTTTACTATTGTGACATTTATATGTACATTTTGTTTAATAAAGAAGGAATATTTACCATTATTTTCTTTGTCGAAATACTCGTATAGTTCTTATACAGTTTAGGATCTGACTGAGCTGTATATTTTAAACTACCTACGGATATATCTGACAAATTAGAATTTCTTCTCTCCTTGTTTCCCGTTTATAAAAAGTAACCGGTTGAGCAGTTAAATATAATTATACATATATATAGATACACTTACGAGAAGCCAAAGTGATCACGAGTATTTGATTGCTTTTCTTCCGCGGTGACCAAACGGCACGGTGGGTGACAGAAATATTTCGTTCCTAAAAGAATTGATTTTAACGGTTCAAGCACGAAAATGCCGGAATTGATTCGACATCCTTGAAATGTTTACCGATTGATAAAATGAGCCGGAAAATAAAATAGGCACCAATTGAATCAGTTAACTGTATTAGTTCAATTATGACGAGCAGAGCCGGCTCTCGTATAGGCACTGTAGAATTGCAGCACTCCCTGTTTCCACTTGATATTATCGATAATGGCTAAAAATTTTCGGGAGCAGCACCCCCACTAATTTTAGCTATGAGCCGCCACTGATGACGAGTACGACTCATGTTATCAAGTTAGCGTCTGTGTTTAAATGTTTTCTTGATTCAAAACGGCTTTCTTCGTGATCGCCATTTCTATCTGGGCCATATATAACAATTCAATTTAGATCAATTGACCCTAGAACGAGGAACGAATTGATGTTTCTTAAACAAATAACATTTTCAAGTTTTTAATTGATGTCGTCAGTGTGCTTCATTTGTCATTACATAGTTCGGATTAAGATTGAATGATTGTGTTAATGATGAGACATTCTTATGTGTCAATTATTTTGATATTAAATTATTATTATGATAGAAGGACGAATTGCGTATCATTTCATTATCCATATTGGTATCAAACAATGCGATGACTTTCTTCGCGTACCATAACTATCGTCAAATCAGATTTTGTTTTGCGTTCAATAGACTCTGTGTACCTGAAATGCCAATAGACTAAAGGAAAGTATTTTTCCTAACAGCGTGCGCAAAATCGAATTTTGCGCACGGGTTTGCGTGCGCAAAGTGCCTCATTCCCGCACTGTCAAACGCGTGTGCAAAATCGAATTTTACGCAGCTTGTTAGGAAAAATAGTATACGATACACGTGCGCATAGGCGTCTCCCGCACTCGTCTCTTTTGTCACCCTTGCTACGCTCGGGCGACAAACCCGACTCTTGCGGGAATCACCTACTTTGCGCACTTGTATCGTAATATACTATTTTAGCTTATCCTAGATAGAATTATTATATTTATATTATTTCAAAATACGTAATGCTATACCCACTCAAAGATCTTGACATTTCATGTATTAGATGAATTTAAAATATTTATTCCTGTTAAAATTACTCTCGACAATTTATATTTTCCTGTCAAATTAAGTTTAACCTCGTTTTAATTAACACAACAAAACGGAATTTGTGTAGGATAGCAAATTCTTTGAATTCCTAACAATGCAAAAATATTTTGCGTAATACAGTTGAGTATGTACTTTCTCTGAAAATTTAAACTCGTATTCGAATGGATTCTTGCGTTATTTGCGTATTTGAACGAAGCCCTTGACTCGACCGTTTTCATTAACTGACTCGCTACGAAAACAATAATGGCTTCCAATCGTGAAAATGTCGCGTCGTACTTGGTTTATCTTCGTCTTGACATAAGAGACGTTGACGCGAGTATAGTACAGAATGATCCCTTCTACAGTACTGTCGTCGTTTTCACAAGTGTATGATAGTGAGTTAAATCGTTAATTCGCTATGTCGTAAAATAATGTGAAAATCATTTCCCTTCTGTGAGAATTTCAAGCCAATCTGCATGGCTCATTTGACAGAACTCGGAATTACCGAATTTACATCATTGTCGAGGAGAAGAATACACACTGGATTAGTCGTCATCAGGATACAATACTTTCAAGTAAGTTTACAGTTAGTTTAATAAATTTCTCTCTATTTTTATCTCAAGACGTTAATATGGTGCAATAAGTACTTGTCAAAATCTTGTGTAAAAATTGTTATAACCTTAATTCCACTTTTAACATTCTTCGATAAGATTGTAGAATACGATTCCTTCTTGAACAGCTGCAAAAACTGTAGAAATATGCGATCGCGTATAGTCGGATTTATTTGATAAAATTATATATAACATAATCCTGAAGAATTTGGCGTTGAGTCCGATTAACGAGAATCATTTTTGGCGACGAAAAATAAAAAAACCCGTTAAGAATTCAAAGCTTCAACGAAATTTTCACTAACTCAACGAAGTCGAGTTCGTCTGATTGATTTATCGTGCTTTTACACGCATTTGTCGCACTCTGTGAACGTTCCGTTATTACAGTCGGGTGGAATGACTTGACCTAAGCTTCTCGTCTAATAAAAATCAACAACAGTAACAACAGTGAACGAAGTCATGAGTTCTATTTCGTGACTTTAGTCACGCAAGATCATCGTCGAACATATGACGTATGTTCCGTCAATCATAAATACGTATAGTTACGTACAATTTTTCTAAAAGTTAATAGTAAACATCTTGATTAAAAGTAATGTAAACTTACTCAACGCACTATTTATTCTAGATACCAAAAACCCTACCTAACGAAACGGCCTACTTATTCGAATTTCTAGAAAATCCGAAAAAATTTATTGTCATCTAAAAAATCATTTGAAAATCATTAAGTACGATTTTGACGTATTAAAAAAGAATGAAAGTCAACATAGTAATACTACTAGTCGATGTTGCGTAATTAATTATCACCAACTATTTCTGCTTTTTTTTATGCTCGTCCTGAATCGTATTTAATTCTCAACAGACGCAACACATAAATACTATACAATAGTGTTAATACGCATGAGCATATTTCCCTGAAATCTTCTCGTTTGAACGCACCTTCATATATCATTCTATTTGCGAACCAATCAGCATCGTCCTTTAGAAAAGGCAGAGCCAATAGTCATAAGACGACACAGGACATTAAGAATCTCTGCAAATGCTCGCAGCGCCAATGGAGTCACATGACTGTACTACATCAAAAAATACAAAAAGGACGTTAGACTGCTTAACAGTGGATCTCAAACAAGTTATTCAAAATGCCACTCACCTTTCCACACGTCATATATTGGCCAGCTTGAAAACACCTGAGGCATTATTATATCCCGTGCGTTAGATTTCCAACATTTTTAAATCCGAATTCCTCTCACGTGAGCGAATAACGTATTATTTTTTTATTAAAACATTTAGATTACGGCATCAGTTGTTATTCGTGAACCTTGGCGTAACTCTAAGTGTCACGTGTGAAAGCACATTGTTAAATAAAAAATAGCATTCGGTATATAAACATATACAATAAAAAAAAATGGCGGGTTAATATCTTATAAAATATATCGATATCTCTCCGTCGTACCAACCACTGAAAGTAACATTATTCGAAGGACGTATCATTGCCTCCAAAGCCAAATCGTATACACTCCGGATTAAACTAACCATTAATTGCTTTCAATTAAGTTCTCTAATAACGTTTTACTAACTGTGTTGCTACATTCATGATAAAGCAAGCACGTGCCAAGTTGTTTTCATGTCACGCGCTTCGTCTACCTATAACGTATGCTGACACAGCAACCGAGTGAAATCTTTCTGAGATCTAGTGACCATCTACACTTAAGATAAATCATAGATATCGATAAAACAGTGCCCAGAATTTGTATAGCTCGAAAAAAAGATAAATATGACAAATTTTTTTTAAATGTCTACCATTTGTCATTAAAGTCAAATTGAAAAATGTGCAGGCTGCTCGAGTGGGAAATTCTTGTAGAAGCATTGCTGAAAAACAATAGTCAATTGGAACGAAGGTTCCTAGAAATTGATGCAACTGCATCTGCCGCTGCACCTGCCGGTAGACACTAAGGAGGAGGAAGGTCACGATGAATAGTACAATTAAAAATTTTTTCATAAATATTCATTTTCATAAGAATGTATACACTGGCAAGTAAGTTTCATTGTCACGGCTGTGTAATCTTTTGACGTGAATTGTAGGTTAGATTGTTTGGACAGTAGGAAAAATCATGACGTAAACTGCGAATAAGACAACCATAATAAATTAACACGATAACGAACTTTTCTCTCAAATATTTTAAGGTCACCGAGATAAGGCAGTTGTAACGAAAAATTTAGGTATTTCCCATCGACGCCGGAGGGAATGACTAATTGTGAAATTGAAAGTACAAAATACAGTGAGTATCTAGAATTTTGAGATAAAGTTCATAAAGCCCACGTTACTCGTTGTTGCTAACAAATTGATTTATGACCATGACACACGCGATTATTATTTATTTATCTGCAGGCACCCTGGACGAGGCAGCGCCAAACAAATTAAAGTCTACGGAAAAGCACTGTCGTAAAGATAACTGTTGACAATAACATACCGGAGAGATTTTTTTTCGTTCGCTCTGTAAACGGTAATGCCATTTGAATCCCGTTGGAAAATATTTACACGATTCGTTACGCCAATGATTCGAAAACCTCACAAAGGGGTTTACTGTCACGTACGTTAACGATGATACGACGATTGTTTCGGATGAATAATTATTATGCAAAAATTCTAATCAAGTCGACACACTCTTAGAGCGTAACACGAAGAGTTGTATCAAGGTCAGAAAATTTGAGACGCCCGTTGTCACGTGACTCGTAACAAATTTTTTAATCATTTTTATTTCGACTGCTACAATTCATTATGGTAATGTTAAAGGATCCTTCTCACGCATGACTCCTTTAGAAATTTTATACCAAGGTAACCCACGTGACTTACAGTGGCACGTATTCGTTCACTATAACAAATTAGATTGCGCGAAAGTCCTTTTGTCGCGTCGCGAATTAATTCTTCATTATCGGCAAATTTTATATAATTATGCTAGATATATATTTTAATTTGACTATTTACGAAAAGATGCCTTATTTACATTTTAATTGTACTGTTTAAAATAAACTTCGTCTAATGACAATGTATTTTTATACATGGTAAGTACCTGTGTATGACTTCGCTGAACGGCGTAACTTCACGGTCACGTTCGTGGTCAAGTTCGCTACTGTAATCGCACAAGCGAGGCCTATCGAGCGTACTTGTACCAAGTCGATGAATTTTTTATATTTGTAATTACGTTCGATCCTTCGGTACGATCGTTATAATGCGAACGATCAAGAAGATCTCTAGCTGATAATTTAATTTATTGCTGTTAGTTGTAAAGGATCTATTTTTTTTTTCCTTACAGTGTATCGTACACCTTTCTCTTATGCATAGTCAAGTAAGGAGATACTGATAACCAGGACTGTATATATTTAAAACGAAACTACCAACATATAAAAGAGTATTTATATATATAAATACTTTATTGGCTTATGTAAAGCTAAAAAATCACAGGCAGTGTCAATATGTGTAAAAGAAGATACGTTAAGCGTGTTCAAAGAAATGCCACATGTTTCATACGAAGCCAATCACCTTTTCCTGGTTGGAGAAACTTGTATTGCTGTCATAAGGATTAAGGAAAAACATTTTTCTATAACTTTCCCGGGAAACAAGGTTTTCCGTGTATACATCGAAGAGGCGTTCAAAGATATATCTATTATGCGGATGCAGAGTTCAATGGTAATAGGATATGACGTATTTAATAGCATAACCGGAAATCACGTCTTAAAGACGTTTGGCTATCTGCAGTCTGTAATTGTTTTGGATGTTTGATGCCCGGGGG